TTTTAGGTTTTCCAGGATATGGGGGTATTTGTTTTTGAGCCCGTTCAAGCTCAATTGTTTCTCGCCCAGTATTTTGCGCTTTGTGAGCCCTTTTATAAATACCTCCCTAGACCCATCAACCCCAAATCGGAGCTGGAAATCTTCACCTCGTTTCCTTCTCTCTTCAGCCTCTATATTGATTGAGGGCCTGAGCTCCTCCGCCTCAGACTGGGAGGGGCTCGACACGTTGTTCTCTATCCGCAATCGCTTACTGGTGGAAGCCCGCATTGATGTAGAGGATGAGCGTCTCTTTTGACCCATATCTGTATAATGATAAAGAGTGAGTGACATCATTAACAATACAGAGAAGATACAGACGAATCAAAAGCAAGAAAGAAAATGTGATCTGGTCTGCGATCGCAAAACTATAATGCGGACCGCAGACTTGTCACAGATCTTTTAGTCTCAACTGGTGGTCTCATTCTGCGGTGAGTTATGTGGTCGCATAAACACTATGCGGACTACGTAACCATCGCAGAATTAACATGGATATATAGTTCAAAACTGAAATCTCTGTATCACTCTGCGGTGAATTTGCGGTCCGCATGTCAAATCTGCGATCGCAAAGACACCGCATTTCATCATCTTCTTCAGAAGATTTAGGGTTTAGTTGTGCGGCCAAAATGCGGATCACATTTTCACAATGCGGGTCGCAGATGCCTTCTTCTACATAGGTCTCTCAAGCTTTCAACAATGGCGGTCCTATTTCATTCTACCCCGTACCCCAAATTATTTTCAACCCAAAAGCATCTACACTACAGAGAAGCAACTACACAAGCATCTAAACACATTTTTGCATAGGATTTAAACAAAAAATCTCTGAACCTACAGTGGAAATCAAAGATAAAACGAGGGAGAAACGGGTACATACCAGCAGAGTTTGATGATTGGGACAATGAGTGTGACAAATGGAGTCCTTTGGTTGCACACAATTTGAGCTTGATTTGATTCGAAGTCTGTTTGTGTTCTTCCCCTTCTTTTTCGTTTTGTTTTTCTGTATTCTTTTTACTCCCCCCCTTTTTTGTTTTGTTTTGTTTTAAGTGGGTGAGAGACGAGAGGGTTATGCAGACTTACCTTGTCGATTCTGTGATGGATAGGACACCACATAACACACAGTACGACCGCATGTGTGTTATGCGATGAGGTTAAGGACCAAGCTGAAGGGAGGCAAATGCGGTGCAAAATGCGGTCGCATAAATTAAATGAGGACCGCATAATGCACCACCTCACTGCATTTTCAACCACAATTTTAACCCAAATCTCTGCTTAGGTTTGCGGTCAGAGTGCGGTCCGCATAGCTAAAATGCGATCGCATTTGTGTAGCAGAATTCACCTAGTGGTTTTTCTTCCACTTTTTATGCATTCGTACCAATTGTTGTGATATTTTGACCCTCCTGCACTCTGTCACACACTTTAAATTGCTCAAATAAATCTATCTATCAAAAACTAAAAATTCATAGAACAAAAGAGTGTTACCACACATGGGTTGCCTCCTATGAAGCGCTTGATTTAACATCGCGGCACGACGAAGTTGATGTTCCTTTGGTTTTACTCAATGGTTGGGCATGGACCATCTTTGAGAGCCAGCTGCTCCACCAAATGTTTTTCTCCATCAGTGCCCAAGTAGTGCTTGATGCGTTGGCCATTTACCTTGAATGTCCGGGACCCATCTGTTAATTCTAATTCCACCGCTCCATAAGGAGAGGCATTGACCACTTTGAATGGACCGGACCATTTTGATTTATGCTTGCCCGGAAACAATTTGAGCCTTGAGTTAAAGATCAAGACCAAATCACCCGTCTTGAACTCTCTTTTCAAGATCTTCTTGTCATGGACAAACTTCATCCGTTCTTTGTATACAGCTGCACTTTCATATGCATGGAACCGGAATTCCTCCATTTCATTGAGTTGTGTTAACCTCAAATTTGCAGCTTCAGCCCACTCTAAGTTCAGTCTTTTCAATGCCCACATAGCTTTGTATTCCAATTCCACGGGTAGATGACATGCTTTACCAAAGACTAGCAGATAAGGAGAAGTACCAATCGGGGTTTTGTAGGCCGTGCGGTATGCCCACAATGCATCATCTAGCTTCCTTGACCAGTCGGTCCTATTTGCGTTCACAATTTTTGCTAGAATGCTCTTGATTTCTCGGTTGGAAACCTCAATTTGACCACTTGACTGTGGATGATAAGGTGTGGCCACCTTGTGCTTTACGCCTTACTTCTCAAGCAGCCCCGAGAATGCCTTGTTACAAAAATGAGATCCACCGTCACTAAGGATGGCTCTAGGAGTGCCAAACCGAGTGAATATGTTTTTCTTCAAGAAGGCAGTCATACTCCTTGCCTCATTGTTTGGTAAGGCAACTGCTTTAACCCATTTGGACATGTAGTCCACAGCTACCAAGATGTATTTCATCATACAAGAACTTACAAAGGGGCCCATGAAGTCGATTCCCCACACGTCAAAGATCTCTATCTCCATCACAAAGTGCATTAGCATTTCATTCCTCTTGGAGATTGAACCTTGTCGTTGACATTGGTCGCAAGCCTTGACCATTTGATTGGCATCATGGTAGATGGAAGGCCAATAATACCCACATTCAAGAACTTTAGCCGCCGTCTGATTTCCTCCATGATGACCCCCAACCGGTGAGTCATGGCATGCCTTGAGAATTGGCATAACCTCTTCTTCGGGAACACACCTTCTGATAATATTGTCAGCACAAACACGGAACAAGTATGGTTCCTCCCAATAGTATTGCCGACAGTCTCTCAAAAACTTCTTTCTTTGATAAGATTCCAATCCGTCCGGGATAAGGTCACTAACCAAGTAGTTAGCAATATCGGCATACCAAGGAGCAAAAGTGCTAGATAATGCCAATATGTGCTCATCAGGGAATGCGTCGTTGATTTCAATATCTCCATGCGGTCTCCCTGCTTCCTCAAGCCTTGACAAATGATCCGCCACTTGATTTTGAGTTCCCTTGTGATTTTTGACTTCGAAGTCAAATTCTTGCAACAACAAGACCCATCGAATTAATCGAGGCTTTGCATCCTTCTTTGCCATGAGATATCGAAGAGCTGCATGATCAGTGTATACCACCACCTTGGACCCCAACAAATAAGCCCGGAATTTTTCAAAAGCATACACAATAGCAAGAAGCTCTTGCTCAGTTACCGTGTAGTTCATTTGTGCCCCATTAAGAGTTTTACTTGCATAGTACACCGGGTGGAGAACTTTGTTGTGACGTTGGCCAAGCATTGCTCCAATGGCTACACCACTGGTGTCACACATAAGCTCGAAAGGAAGTGACCAATCGGGCGGGACAATAATGGGTGTCATGGTGAGCCTTTGCTTTAACTCCTCAAAAGCTTTAAGACAGTTCTCATCAAACACAAACATGGCATCCTTTTCGAGGAGTTTGCACATGAAGTTAGCAATCTTGGAGAAGTCCTTGATGAAGCGCCTATAAAACCCGGCATGCCCTAGAAAACTTCTAACACCTTTCACGGAGGTCGGTGGAGGAAGCTTAGAAATAATCTCAATCTTTGCCCGGTCGACTTCAATACCATGCTTTGAAATTTTGTGCCCAAGCACAATTCCTTCGTCAACTATGAAGTGACACTTCTCCCAATTTAGCACAAGGTTGGTCCCTTCGCATTGCTTAAACACTTGTCTAAGATTGTTAAGACAGTGCTCAAACGAATCACCAAGCACCGAGAAATCATCCATGAAGACTTCAAGAAAGTCCTCAACCATGTCGGAGAAGATGGACATCATACACCTTTGGAAAGTGGCCAGAGCATTGCACAAGCCAAATGGCATCCAGCTAAAAGCAAAAGTGCCATACGGGCAAGTGAACGTAGTTTTCTCTTGATCTTCCAAAGCGATGTTGATTTGATTGTAGCCGGAGTAACCATCAAGGAAACAATAAAATGACCTCCCCGCTAGCCGATCAAGCATTTGATCAATAAACGGAATAGGGAAGTGGTCCTTTCATGTAGCACCATTAAGTTTCCTATAGTCCATACAAACTCGCCATCCGGTCACAATTCGCGTTGGAATGAGCTTATTCTTCTCATTTCGATCACGGTCATGCCACCTTTTTTTGGAACACATTGTACTGGGCTCACCCAAGAACTATCGGCAATGGGGTAAACTACCCCGACATCCAACCACTTGATAATCTCTTTCTTTACTACCTCTTGCATTGACGGGTTCAACCGCCTTTGATGTTCCACACTTGGCTTTGTTTCGCTCTCCAATTGGATTTTATGTTCACAAATTCCCGCGGGGATTCCACGAATGTCCGCAATGGTCCATCCAATGGCTTGACTATGTTCTTTCTAGACTTCCAACAATTGGTTTACCTGCACATCATTTAGCAAAGATGAAACGATTACGAGTAAAGTATCATTAGAGCCAAGAAATTTATACCTTAAGTGCGGCGGGAGAGGCTTGAGCTCTAGTTGTGGTGGCTCAATGATTGATGGCTTAGTGGGAGGTGTGGCCCTATTCTCCAAGTCAAGAGAAAGCTTTGCTGGAGTGTAAGTATAGGATCCAAGACCCTCCAATGCATTTACCGACTCCATGTACCCATCCATGTCCTCACCATCAAAGTTTACCAAGATAGCCGCCAATGCCTCACCAAGGCATTGTTATTCCATTTTCAATTCGACGACATATTCAACCTCATCAACCACATCTATCACTGAAATGCTCTCATACTCATGAGGTAATTTCATACCCTTGCTCGCTTGAAATGTGACTTCTTCATCATTCACCCGGAACTTAATTTCATTTTTCTCCGAATCCATGAGTGCTCTTCCCGTGGCTAGGAATGGTCTTCCCAAGATGATAGGGATCTCTTTATCAACAGCACAGTCAAGAATTACAAAGTCGGCGAGCAAATGGAATTTTCCAACTTTTACAATCACATCATCAACAATTCCTATCGGTCGCTAAATAGATCGATCGGCCTTTTGTAATCGCATGCTTGTTGGCCTCGGCATCCCTAATCCCACTTGCTTGTAGATGGCAAATGGAATCAAGTTGATGCTAGCCCCATTGTCACAAAGGGCTTTTGCAAAGTCACGCTCCCCGATAGTGCATGGAATAGTAAATGCTCCCGGGTCCTCTTTCTTTTGGACAGGGCTTGTGGCAATAATAGAGCTAACCTGGTGAGTCATGTTTGCCACATCATTCTTTGTGGTCCTCTTTTTGGTGATCAAATCCTTCAAATATTTGGCAAACCCCGGAATTTCTTGAAAAGCCTCCAAGAATGGAATGTTCACCGACAATTGCTTTAGAATATCATAGAATTTCTCAAGCTTGCTATCATCAACCCTTCTAATAAGTCTTTGAGGAAAAGGCGGAGGAGGTCTAGGAATAGGAGGTGGAGCTTTTGATGTCTCCTTCTCCTTTTCCTTCACCCCTTCTTGGTTCACTTCTTGCACCTTCTCTTTTTCCGGCACCCTTTCAACTTCAACAACCCCTTGCTCTTCTGCTTCAACTTCTTGTTCGGCTTCTTCCCCAACAACCTCTTACTCAATGTCACATTGTAAAACCTTCCCACTTCTAGTAGTTATTGCCATGACGTGAGAAGTTGAGCCTCTTCCACCACTCTGCGGGTTCGCAATGGTATCACTAGGAAGTTGCCCTTTTTGCTTTGGGTTTTTCTCTCTTGAAAGGTCTCTCATTTGCATCTCTAACTTTTGGATAGATGTGGTGTGAGAGCCAACAACTTCGGTCATGTTTCTCATGGACGCGTCAGACTTTTCTTGGTTTTGCAATACTCTTTCAAGCATGCATTCTAAATTTGACTCACTTGACGACCCTTGATTTGCATAATGACCTTTTGGGGGAACATATGGGTTGGAGCTCCGGTTTGCAAAGTTGTTGTTCCAATTTCCTTGATGCGAGTTACCTTGATCATTTCTCCATTGTTGGTTGCCTTGCCCTTGCGGGTTTGGCCTCCACTGGCTTTGTTTCCCTTGACCATGGTAGGGTTGCCTTTGATACCCTCCTTGAGGGTTGTTGATATAATTTGCTTCCTCAAAATTTTCATCTAAGATGGGTTGGACATCTTCACTGCATTCACTTTCTTTGTCTGATTCTCGGTAAACATCTTTGTCAACACATTTACATTTGTTGCAAGCCCGACAATCACTTGATCCCTCTCTTGATTTTCCTTGATTAAGTTGCTCAATGAAGGAGAGCCATATGAGATTCCTCCGATAGTATCCTCTGAATGCCATGCTTGGTTGTGATTTGTCATTTTGTCTAGGATTTGTGTCACTCTTGCAAACGATTTGTCCATGAAAGATCCGTCAGCTGCATTCTTGGGGATGACTTGATTCATGGGATCCAAACCCATATAAAATGTTTCCAACAACATGGAATCCGGAAAACCATGGTTTGGAGACCTCACCAAGTATAATTTGAAGCGATCCCATGCCTCATGCAACTGCTCTCCCTGTATCTGCTTGAAGAAAAAAATCTTATCCCGCAACTCAAACTTTTTGCTCTGCGGGAACCACTTGGACAAAAACGCTCAGACAAGTTCGGGCCAAGAATGGATAGAGTTGGGTGGCAGATTCCGGAGCCATTTCCTCGCATCCCCAGCTAGAGAATACTTGAAGCATCTCAACCTCAGGGCATCGTCAGAGACATTATTTTGTTTGTGCATTGCACACACACCCAAGAAATTCCTAAGGTGTTGTATTGGATCATCATCTGTGGAGTTTCTAAAAAATCCTTCTACCTTGAGCATCAGAATTAAATAGTGTTCCACTTTAAATGTTGCAGCTCCAACAGCTGGCAGTACAATGGCGTTAGTATCCTCAATGTACTCATCGATGTCTGCGAAAGGATTCTCTCCCATTTCTGTCTCCACATCATCACCATATTCAGGCATGTTTTCCTATCAACACCAAGCAAAGCAAGCAAAATGTGATGGAATAGAAATAGACGTTAAGTAAAGTACACACTAAATAGTAATTTCAAAACCGTATTCCCCGGCAACGGTGCCAAAATTAGTTGATACTTCCAAACAAACTCAATTCATACTTTTGTTACGATAAAACCATTCTCTTGTTACTGTTAACCGAATAGAGATACGACTTTAGTCGAGCAACACAATATAAGAGTAACCTTTTCACACCTATTCCCTGTGGGATTCGACCCCAACCTTGTTGGGTTATTATATTTGACACCGATCGCCTTACACTATTCATTAAAGTGTAATTTGAGCGTATCACGCACCTTTGAGAAAAATCAAACTTTTTTGGAAGAGGGTTAGGAATTTTTATCTGAATCGGCTTTAACATGTCCAATTTCCTTAACCTCTAGAATAGACTGGCATATGAATCTCCCAATGGAGTGAAGGTTTTCTTCTTCTGCAACCTCTCGTTCTTAAATGCTTGATTGGGCCGGAAACCTGATCCAGGGGGTTTTTGGTAGGCTCGTGGGGGTGGATAGGCATTTTGTGGAGCTGGGTACTAGGAAAGTGATGTACGAATTTGGGGGTTCCATGGAGAGAAGTAGAATTGGGAAGGGTCATCTGGTGCACAAGGATATACATGGGGTCGATGGCGAGGCTGAAAGCGTTGAGCAGGAATGCCCAACGGATCATCTTTTCTATTTCTCTTACTTCCACCCAAACTTACTGGGATGTTCTAAATGTCTTTCGTAGTATCTTTCAATGCCGAAAAACTCATGATTTTGCCTGACTTGATTCCCTCTTCTATCATCTCCCCCATTTTTAACACATCATTGAAAGGCTTTCCCAAGGCCGGGATCAAATGACTAAAGTAGTTGGGCCCCTGGTCTTGTAGGAAAAGCTCAACCATTTCCTTTTCACCAATCGGGCTACTGACTTGAGCAGCTTGCTCCCTCCATCTGAGCGCAAACTCCCTAAAGCTTTCCTCCAGCTTCTTTTCCATTTTAGATAGGGAGGAGCAGTTTGGGATAACGCCTGATTTGTATTGAAAGTATCGAACAAAATCTTGAGCCATGTCACCCAATGTAGGCCACTTACCAACATCTTGACGATTATGCCATTCCAAAGCTGCCACAGTCAAGCTCTTACTGAAATAGGCCATCAACAAGTTATCTTTCTCTCCAACACATCTCGTTTCACTGCAATAAACCCTCAGGTGGGCTACCAGATCTCCACACCCATCATACAAGTTAAATTTTGGCACTATAAATCCCACGGGCAGGCGAACGTTAGGGGACACAGACAGTTCTTTGTAAGCCATGCTACCCTGGTCTCCCATTCCTTGCTTGTTCTTTAAGGACTGTTCTATGCCTTCCAGCCTCTTGGGTATCCAATCTCGCCCTTTTCTTCCTGTGAACGTTTCATTTTCAACATGAGGCTCATCCCACGGGCCCTGCTTGTATGAGTTGGGAACCTTGTGGGCAACCTCTGAGGGGTAATATTGGGCATCATGAGCTTTGAGTGGGTGTTCATTGTCGGGGATAGTGGATGTGATAGGAGGGCACTTTTGGGAAAAGATAGTTGGAGGACGAGTGATGGAGCTACTAGGGTGGTTGGGAAAGTTGTGATAAGCGGGTGGATCTGGAGAGTATGGAGGATCATCGAGCATTGTGTCCGAAGTTTGGGTAAGGGCAACATCTAGGAAGCTAGGTGGTGGCGGGGGTGGTGCCTTCCCAGTCATCCAAGCCTGATACATGTCCGCCATGTGTTGTCTTAACATCTTTGCCTCTTCAACCAACCCATTGTCCTGTTCAACCAACCGCTTTCGGGCACCGATATCTACCAACTCAGTTCTGTTGTTGTTTGCCATTGCCTTTTGACTTTGTGTTGTAGAGAAGAGTTACCACTTTAAAAACCACAAATCAACCACCCTTCTGCTATGAATATAACAAAATGAAGCCATCACGTTAGCGTTAGGACATTTAACATAAGATAATCTCACTTTATGTGCAATGCACCTAGCCACAATTATCGGTTCTAAAATGACTTCGAGGGTACAAAGGTCAATTGGCATCATCCCAATTTGCTCATTTCAACCTCTCTTTTCTTTGCTTTTCTAGCACTTGCTTGCTCATTTTCCTTCCTCTTTTCCCTTCTAATTATCACTCTTTTCTTTCCTCTCATTTCTCACGTCCCATAACTTCAACCTTTTTTCTTTCTTTTCCTTTTTTCCCTTTTTTTTTTGTCCTTCTTTTTTTTCTTTTTTCCTTTTACTAATAAAAAAATGATTTGATCGAACCCTATGTAGGTTGCCTACATATCATGACCCCGCATGAATCAGATCTTTGCGTAGTTCTGGAAGAACGGGAATAAAGTAAACAAACTAACATTTTCTTTTTTTTCTTTTTTAGCTTAATGACTACTCTGATGAGAAAAGAGAAATAAAAGAAGCAAATCCTTTTTTTTTAATTTTCTAGACTTAATGTTCTATGACCTATTCTAAACTCAAGCTTAACGGGCATTTTTTTTCTTTTTTTTCCTTTTGAAACAAATACTCTATTAAGGAAAAATCCTAGAAGAGAAAATATTTTTTTTTTTTGATTTTTTTAGGAAAGAAATTTAAAGAGTAAACCATAGAAAAATATTTTGAATTTTCATCTGAAGAAAGATTTCAAAGCGAGAAATGTATATTTTTGGATTTCAGTTTTTGATTACCTAAAGAAAAAACTTTAAAGATAAAAAAAAGACAAAGTATGTTTCTTTTCTATGTACAATATCCTAAAATTCTAGTGAAAATAAAAGATTTTTTTTTTTCATTTTTTCGTTAATTTCCTAAAGAAGAACCCCAAAATAAAATCTTTTTGGATTTTTGAAATTAATATCTTAAAAGAAAACTCTTAAAGAGGTACTAAAAGAAAATTCTCTTCTCTTTTTTTTTGAATTTTTTTGCTCTTAATGTACTAAAAGGAATTGTAAAAGCAATTTTCATTTTAAGTTCTAGATATTCATTGCCTAAAGAAAAACCCGCCTCAAATGATATATTTTTTTTTATTCCTAGAATTAGTATTCTAAAGAAAACTTCTAACGGAAATATAAAAATACAAAATTTCTTTTTTTTTTTTGCTTTTTTGACTTGCAACTCATTTCTAAATACAAAATAAGAAATACAATAACAAAAGACTTGGCAAACTTAACTAGACTATGACAAACTCTAACATTATCTAAAAGACTCGACATTACTGTACAAAACTAGAAGGTAAAAGATGACATTAAAAAAGAACAACTTACTAAAACATAAAGAAAATCTCCTCAAGCAAACTCCTGAATGAGTGATCCTGACTGGATGGTCCTGGGGCGTCTACCAAGCTCAAACTTCGGTAAATAGACCCACACCTGTATGAGAAAACTTTAACCAACACTATGTGAGATAATAACACTCCCTATTAGACACATGCAAGACATGATTGAGACTATTTTTGCAAAATGGCTTATTTAGCCAAAAGGTGGCTAGAAGTGCAAAATTTGGTTAAGACCCCGCAAAGCCAAGAACCTAAGATTTACAAGGAAGACCGGACCCTATGTGGGTTGCCTACGTATCACGCCTTGAAAGACGAGAATCAGATATGCGTAGTTCTGGCAGATTGGATACGGGCGGGAAATAAAATTAACAAATAATTTAGAGAAAATGTATTTTTGTCTTTTTGAAAAATGATGAAACATGTAAACTCTTTTTGGATTTTCTTTTTCCTTTTTTTTAAAAAAAATGGGGAAAGTGCAAACTCTTTTTTTTGGATTTTTCATTTTCATTTTTTTGGTTTTTCTTGAAAAAGTGTGAAAGAAAATTATAATTGGGCCCCACTTGCTTCAATTTTATACTTCAACCTCTTCTTTTTCTTTCTTTTTTTTTTCTTTTTTCATTCACCCTCAATTATCATTGGTCCGCCTAGTGATCCTTTTACCCTTGAAGAAATGCAACATGTAGCTCATAGGATGCATCAAGATGGTCTATTATTTTGTGTACACCAGTCCTAGACGGACCCAACTCCTGTGTTGAGTCCCCAAAGTCAGATGCACGTGATGAAAACAAGTGTTCCTATTAGGAATCCGGCATGAGGCTATGTATACTAGGTTTAAAACCTGGGTTTATTGTTCTAGACTTGGCTTACCCGAGCTGAAAACTCGAGCTGAGGGGGGCAGCGTACGGGGAATACAAAAGCTTCACCGGCTTTGCAACTTATCTGAACCTCGTTCTAAAATTAGGGATATGACTCTAACAAAAGAGAAGTCACACGAAGTGCACCCTTCTCCATGATTTAG